GTGTTAGAGACTTCCAGCCGAACCCACACACACACACACTTATAAACAGCATATTTCAGGGATAGTCTCCCAAAAATGACCTTGAAAGTAAATATTTTGAAGAATGTTTTTGGTTCCATGTTACTTTCAGTCCATTCAATGGAAGTCAATGGGAACCAAAAGTGTTTGTCAGAATGTGTTCTTTTATATTGCGCGGCACAAAGAGACACACACAGGTTTGGAGTGACATGAGCGTGAGGAAAGAATGACAGCGTTTCAGTTTTGTGTGAACTATCCGTTGAAGTGCCCTCAAACAGTGTGTGACAGCAACAATAAGGTCAGTTCTCCCTCTCCTCACACACACACACACAGTACAATGAGCAGCACTCTGCCATCATGTCTCTCTCTCTCGTGGGGACAGATCCTCTTCTGCTCCTAAAGGAAGAGAGAGAGATTGTCCCTGAACTCAACATGTGGCCCATTTCAGGAGCTGACAGATGTGTGTGTCCGCTTCCCAGAATCCTCTTGGGTGACTGAGCAGGTTCATGGATCAAGATCACAAGTGGAAGTTATAGAAGATCAAATATATAGAAGATTTAGACTATTCAGACTCAGTGTGTGTGTGTGTGTGTGTGTGTGCGTCTGTGTTTGCGAGAGAGAGAGTGAGAGAGAGAGAGAGAGAGAGAGAGAGTGATCGTCTGTGTGTGTGTGTGTGTGTGTGAGAGAGAGAGTGAGAGAGAGAGAGTGATCGTCTGTGTGTGTGTGTGTGTGTGTGTGTGTGAGAGAGAGAGAGAGAGAGAGAGAGTGAGAGAGAGAGAGAGAGAGAGAGAGAGAGAGAGTGATCGTCTGTGTGTGTGTTTGTGTATGTGTGAGAGAGAGAGAGAGAGTGAGTGTCTATGTGTGTGTGATAGAGAGAGCCTGTGTGTGTATGTGCGTGTGTGTGCGTGTGTGTGAGAGTGTGTGTTTGTTTGTGTGTGTGTGACAGAGAGAGAGAGTGATCGTCTGTGTGTGTGTGTGTGTGTGTGACCCGAGGCTGGAGGAGTTGAGCAAACGAATAATCAGTAATGAGGAAGGAGAGAGCGAGGGGCGAGTGGGATGGCTGGGATACACACACACACACACTCACTCACTTACTCACACACACTCACTCTCTCTCACACACACACACACACACTCTCTCTCACACACTGATGCCGTGTTCTCCGGCGGGACGGCTCTTTCCTGGAACGCTTCGGAAAACAATAAATAAATCTAAATAAATAAATAAGCCGCGGAGGAGCATTAGCAGTGTTCCGAACGCTACGCACACACCGTCGCGAGTGATGTTGGGCGTGCTGGAGTGAGCACTGGTTAGGGAACACACATTATCCCGCCGCTCGTCAATAACGGGAGCGATGTGGAGCTCTGCAGCGCCGGCTGAATGTTAACTAGCGCTTTCTCACTGGAGATCAGACTGGAGATGGGTATTAATGACCGGTGTGTGTGTGTGTGAGAGAGAGAGAGAGAGAGGTGTGTGTGTGTACGTGTGTTTGTGTGTAAGTGTATGCACATGCGAGTGTGCATATGTGTGTTTGTGTGTGCGTGTGCAAGTGTTTGTGAGTTTGTGAGTGCGTGCGAGTGTGTGAGTGCATGTGTGTGTTTGTGTGAATGTGTTTGAGAGTACGCGTGTTAGTGTGTGTGCGTGCGAGCGAGTGTTTGTGAGTGTGCGTATGTGAGTGTGTGCATGTGCGTGCATTGCAAGTTGTATGTGAGTGTGAGTTTGTGAGTGTGTGTGTGTGTGTGTGTGTGTGTACGCGTGTATGTGAGTGTGAGTTTGTGAGCGTGAGCGTGTGTGTGCACAAGTGTATGTGAGTGTGTGTGTGTGTGTGTGTGTGCGTCTGTGTGTATGTGTACGCGTGTATGTGAGTGTGAGTTTGTGAGCGTGTGTGTGCACGAGTGTGTGTGTGTGTGTGTGCTGCTGATGGAGTCTCCAACAGTCGGAGATTGGCAGCATCAACACACGGGCGAGAGAGATCTAGAAGAGCACAGAAACAGGAGGAGAGCAACAGAAAGATCAATGTGAAGAAGAGAGCGAGAGGATTGGCAGAAAGTGAGCGCTGACAGATGATCTATAGAGGTGCCAGTCACAGCCGGCACACACACACACACACACACACACACACACACACACACACACACACACCATTAGACACACACACGAGCAGACACGGGCCACATTGATCCGCCCCTCTCTCTCTCTCTCTCTCTGAGTGTGAGGGTGTGAGGGCGAGCAGAACGACTGACCCATCCAGAAACTCGCAAGAACAAGCCGGGTTCGCAGGCTGCAGGCGAAACGGGAATTTCTTTTAATTGTGTGTTTAGATTTTCAAAAAGCACATTTTTATCCTCGTGTTTTTCGCGAAAGCACATCGGTCAGCTCTGGTTGTAGTAAATAGATCCCGAGCGATATGGATTTTAGGGGGCCGATGCCGATACCGATATTGTTAATGTGTATATTATAATACAGTAGCAATATTATGTGTGTGTATTATAGTACAGTACCAGTCAAAAGTTTGGACACACTTTCCTACTGGTGTGTACAGGCGCGTGAACTGCAACTCGTCTCATAAATAATAAATAACTCGTCTCATAAAAAAACTCGTCTCAACTCGTCGTTATTAATAAACAAATAAAATGTCTCCTCGTTGTCTTTGACGTATTCTCAATCATTACTTTTGCCAGTTCTTTGCGACAGCTTTTGTGTGCTTTATTGGCATCGCCACCATTACATGAATCACCGCACCCGCATTTTGAAAAAAATATTTATTTATCGGCCGTTATAAATGCCGATAACGTTAGTTAGGAAAATGCCTAATATCGGCCGATATATCGGTCGGGCTCTAGTAAATTACAGAAAACTCAAATTACAGTAAATTACCGAAGTACATTCGCTCGTACTAAGAGCCACTGGTTATCAAAAGAAGAAACTTATATATTATATAGACTCATTACATGCAAAGTGAGATATTCAAGCCTTTATTTGTTATAACGTTGATGATTTCAAATTCAAAATTACAATATTGTGAAAAGATTTTCAGCTGTAAGCCATAATCATCAAAATTATAACAAATAATTAGAGCCCGACCGATTAAGGATTTTGAAGGCCGATACCGATACGAATATTTGTTTGTTTTAAAAATCCGATATTCCGATATATCGGCCGATTTTTAAAAAAAAAAAAAAAAAAATTCAGAAACGCGCAACAAAACATTAACAGATTTCCCTAACATTAGTTATTTGTAGTTGTTTATGAGTTTTAACTAAAATAATATTATAATGCATTTTAAAAATAAACTTGTTTCTTTTATTGTCACAACAGGACAGACTGATGATAGTGGCATTAGCTAGCTTTATGGTTATGATGAGCCATAATTTAGCAATGGATAGTCATTCTGCAAATTGTAAAACATACATTTTCAATGTAACAGGCCGAGGAGAGATGATGCGTCTCATTGCTATAACTGTCACGCGCTATTAAAGAAATACTTCAGTCACATTGTCAAAAGTTTAACACTGAAACAACGTAACGTAATTATTACTAGCTAATTCCGCTTCACTCTCGGCTTATTTAACAGCATCAAAACTGGACATGATAGTCAAATTTTGTCATGCTTATTTGAGTTTAGAGATCTGATGGGGATGCTCTTTTCATTGTTATTCAAGCAACGTATGTATCGTGACCAACTCAACGAGTGTTGCCAACAGAGACGGTGTAGAGCGCCCTCTGGTGGACAAACTATACAACTCCAACACTCATGACATGGTTCAAGCGTGTTTCATCCGTTTTTATTTTATTTTTGAAACATTCATTTATCGGCCATTATAACTGCCGATACCGATAGTTTGGAAAATGCCTAATATCGGCCGATAATATCGGCCTGCCGATAAATTGGTCTGGCTCTACAAATAATGGCTTGAAATATCTCACTTTGCATGTAATGAGTCTATATAATATATTAGTTTCAGCTTTTAAGTTGAATTACTATCATATTCTCATTTTTGTATGCTAAGGCGAGACACTACAGGTGAATAGGGTATTTTTTTTAACTAGCGGATATCACCATGAAACTTTCCCAGTTGATTACCTACATTAAGATGAGAAAAAAATATATTACAAGTTTTCTGTAATTTAATGTTTAAACGTGCAAATGATGCATTATCTAATTAAATATGCACTATTTTGCATATATTTAAAAAAAAAACGAAATCTGAGTATTGGATAAAGCCAGGTTCAAAATTCTTTATTCATTGTGTTCACATATTAGATTACAGGGGGATTTATGGATATCTACTTTTGTTATCCTGTAGATCAGAATTAAAAATATATTTTCGCCATATTTTTTGGAATAAAATGTTATATAAATCAGGCTAGGAATAATATATTTACAAATCCCTTGATAAATGTCTTCATAATATAACTATGTACAAGACTGGAAAGTTTGGTGTATATAGATGCTACTGAAGTGGAGAGAGAAAAGTCATTTTGAGAACGGCCTTTAAAGATTCAGCATCAGCCAATGAGATCGCAAATTTAGAGTTAAATCCCCCGATTGGTTGCTGATGAAAAGGAAATGATCATATTTGGACCATATTTTAGCTTTCTAACGGTGTGTGTGTGTTGACAGGGTGCAGATCGCGATCGCTGACGATTTATAACGACAACTATTGAAGAATTTATGAGAAATCTACAGACAAAGTGGAGTAAAATAAAGACCTAAATGTGTATTTCGGACTTTTTTTCACCACAGGTCTGAAAGAAGACATGTTATTGAAGACAAATATCCCAAATAAAAATAAAAAAAAAACGATGTTTTTGCCTGTCGTGTCTCACCTCTTGCAGGTTTGGAATGACATGAAACTGAATCAATAATTTATGACAGAATTTTCCTTCTTTGAATAAATAATAAAACTATCCTGCTTTTATGGTATCAAACTGGACCATTCTCCTCTCTCTGATTAGCATACGAGCGTGAGGACAGTACCGGTCTTGAACCACCCGTCCTCAGTGAAAGCGTCTGCCGTCTCCTGAGGTTTATTCCAGTACTTCTGAAACACAGACGAACCTCGAACCAACAGTTCGCCCTCCTTCCCCTCCAAACCAGCCTTCACCTGCGAACACACACGCGCGTTTCAGTAGGACTTCCTCACTAATTATTGTGTACTTAAAGGGTTAGTTCACCCAATAATGAAAATGATGTCATTAATGACTCTCCCTCATGTCGTCCCAAGCCCGTAAGACGTCCAGAACACAGTGTAGCCCTAAAACCGTATTCACTTTGTAATTATGGACAAATGTGGGCACAGAGGACTCAGGTGTGATCCTAATTTTTATTTATTATAAATGTTATATCACTGTCTTCAATAAAGTTTTGTCTATCCATTTATGGTGTTTTTTTTTTGGGGGGGGGGGGGTATTTTTGAATTTATTTACTTCAAAAAGTACAATATTTTCTATGTAAATTATTCTTATTTTTATGTGTTATTTTTTTTACTACATTAAAATATCGTTCCAATAAGTTCTTAGAGCTAAAACCTATTTAAAACCTAAGTCTTATTTTGGCTTATTTTACAATGCTCTAAATTACAGTTTTTCCCATTCATTTCTATGGGTGCCCATTTTTGACCCAAATACAAGATTAAGGAGGGGTTTTTTTTCCACCCATTTTTAACATTGTAGAATTGAGGCAAAAAAAAATTGTGTGTGTTCAGAAGGCAAACTTAGGAAAAGTAGCCAAGTCTTGTACCGCTCAGATCAGGGGATCAAAACTATTTTGCCCACATTTGTCCAGAATACGGTTTTAGGGTTAAGATATTTTAGATTTAGTCTGTCCCTCCTTTGGAAATGTGTGTACGGTATACTGTCCTTGTCCAGAAAGGAAATAAAGACATCCTCAAAGTAGTCCAAGTGACATCAGTGGGTTAGTTACAATGTTTTGAAGCATCGAAAATATAATAAAACATACATTTCCAATGGAGGCACAAAAAGCTCTCGGACTAAATCTAAAATATCTTAAACTGTTCTGAAGATGAACGGAGGTCTGACGGGCTTGGGATGAGTCATTAATGACATCATTTTAATTTTTGGATGAACTAGCCCTTTAAATATCCTTTACTCTGATCAATTTAAAACTCTCCTCGGTTAAAATTGCTTTTTTTTTGTACTTCGTCGGACTGGTAAGAAACTTGGTAAAGGTTTTGGCTCTTGCTGTGTGAACACAAAATATGATGGACATGATTCGAGAAGGTTAAATGGTCGATAAAAAGATGGTGGTCAGGAATGAGCGCATTGGAAATGAATTGGAGACGAGTTTCTTCTAGTGGAAGCGTTTGGTACTGCGGCCGAACTACATCTGACTAAAAAAAAGCGAGTTTTTTGAGATATCATGCTCAAATTTGGAAGGTTTATGGCTTTGATGTTCTTGCCGTTTTAAAGCAAAAAGTGTTTTTTTTTTTTTTTTTAAAGATTTCGTTTAAAAATTGAAAATAGTATTTTTTGTGCATTTTTCATAACAATAAACGTAAAATTCTGTAACTTTTTTTAAGTTCACTTTTTAAAACTTTTTTCACTTCAGCAATAATCTGCCAAGTGTCGTCTTTAAAAATAGATCAAACTTCAGTCTGTGCTGTAAAGTAATCAAGATTTTCGACAGATTCATTTGGAAATGTAATTTTCAGGGCTATGCTCAAAACTAGAATATCTACTGCGTAAATATAATGTGTTACCATAAAACCATTACATTATACATTATCAATCTAAAATATAGTGCATTCCTTTCATTGAAAAAAAAAGTATAATTCGGTAATTTTGACCGTTATTCATTTATGGGGTTATTCATGGTTTGCTGATAGTATTTTTTTAATAATAATAAAAAAGAAAATAAAAAGTAATTTTAATATTCAAATGTTGAAGGCTGAGGAGAATTGGGTCACTTTATTGTAAGTTTTCTTGCAAATTATTATTGTTGCATTCATAGAGCAAATCTTAAACAAGTTTTTATTGGCAATTGCGGTTTGTTTACAGTTTTAAACTCCCATAATTCGTGCAAAATTCATATTTCAAAAAGGTTTTTAGGTACCTGGGTCCCCTTTCTGTTGCCCTCCGCGATTACAGTGCTGGAGTTGGCCATCAGGATACGCACTTCCACTCCCGGCAGAGGAACTCCAACAGCTCCTGCGAAACACACACGTTTTCAGTCAAAACATCTCCATTATATTCCCTTATTATTTTCATTTCGATGGCTTATATGCAACTATTGGTTACAGCTGCACGATTAATCATTAAAAGATCACAATTTCGATTCTTGGATGTGATTTTATTCTAAAATGACAGTGATTCGGTTCTCTATATATTAAAATTTAACGAATATTTAGATCTGTGTTCTGATCCAGAGAGAGCCGTTGACATGTATAGATATGAAACAACTTTCAACCACACGGTTTCATTATTTCTGTCTTACAATCATTTATATGCTCACAGAAGTACTGGGATAAAAGTTTATAGTTCAGATATAAACAATAGAGTAAACTTGACGCTATCAATTACAGCGTTACACCAGTAGATGGCGGCAAATGCCTGTTTTGTATTTGTCATTGAATCATTCATTCACGAGTGATTCTGATTCATCCAGCAATGAAACAAATGAAGTCTTTATGAGTGAGTCATTGAATAATTCACTCAACTTGATTTAAAAAAAAATTAATTGAAATTACATTTTTAAAAATAGACTGCAGCAATTAAAATTTGTTTAATTTTCTACTCGTGAAACAATCATGATTCTCGATTTAATATATAATATATACATGCAAATATTTCTTAAATATGCATGTGTGTGTGTATTTATATATACAAAATGATTACATTTATTATGTAAACACAAACTTTTATTTTGGATGCGATTAATCGTTTCACAGCACTAGATTGGACCAGAGAGGCTTACTTTTGGATTAGTACAAATAAACTTCGGGATGCATCGATATGAACATTCCGGCCGATACCGATAACCGATAATTCTTCACATTTGAAGGCCGATAACCGATATATCGGCCGATAAATAAAAATCCAAAATTTGTTTGTATTTTTTGAGGGCCTGATTACAATAAAACAAGTCTCTCCATTAAAATCCATGACCCAATCACACAATTAATATGTTCTTTTAATTTTACGAAGCCGATATGAAAGACTTACGCTGCACATGTTGCACTTTACTGTATTTTCCTTTTTTAAAATCATATGTGATCAATCATAATCAACAGTGCATATCTGAAGTATCTCAGCTGAAGGAAATAATACATTATTTATCAGCTTTAATATATCAGCCACATTTTGTTATCAGGCCGATAACGCTAACATTAAAAATGAACATAAATCTGCCGATAGCCGATATTATGGCAGCCGATATATCATGCATCCCTAAATAAAATAATACTCTTCTTGCAAACTGTGTATAATTATTTTGTATATTTAAATATACACAAATGCATGCATATATTTAAGAAAAATATATTATTCATGTATAAAATATTTATATTTTTTTATATAATACAAATTATATGTCAATATAATTTATCTACTAATATGCAACCATGAGGGATAAATAAGGTACAAAGGAAAGGTACCAACCCTAGTGACAGCTTTTCTAAGAAACAGGGCAGTAGCATGTATGTTAAATTGCTAAATTCATGGCCACTAATAACTGCACCAACAATTAAAACTTATAATAAATTGTTTACTTTTGAATAATATAGATTTGTTTCATTTTATGTTGCCCTATCCACTTTCGGAAAAAAAATTTCCCTGGGGCTATACCTTTTCAAAAGGTACACTTTTGTACCTTAAGGGTACATATTGGTACCTTAATGGTACATTTTAGAACCTAAAATGTAAATAAAAGCACCTAAATGTACATATAAGCACCTAAACGTACATATCAGAACCTAAAATGTACATATTAACACATAAAATGTACATAAAAGCACCTAAATGTACATAAAAGCACCTAAAATGTACATAATAGCACCTAAATGTACATATCAGAACCTAAAATGTACATATTAACACATACAATGTACATAAAAGCACCTAAATGTACATAAAAGCACCTAAAATGTACATAATAGCACCTAAATGTACATCAGAACCTAAAATGTACATATTAACACATAAAATGTACATAATAGCACCTAAATGTACATATCAGAACCTAAAATGTACATAATAGCACCTAAATGTACATATCAGAACCTAAAATGTACATATTAACACATACAATGTACATAAAAGCACCTAAAATGTACATAAAAGCACCTAAAATGTACATAATAGCACCTAAATGTACATATCAGAACCTAAAATGTACATATTAACACATACAATGTACATAAAAGCACCTAAATGTACATATCAGAACCTAAAATGTACATAATAGCACCTAAATGTACATATCAGAACCTAAAATGTACATATCAACACATAAAATGTACATATTATCACCTAAATCGGCCGATATTTAAGAAAAATATATTATTCATGTACAAAATATTTATATTTATATATAATACAAATTATATGTCAATATACACATGCACATAATATTTCTTAAATATATACATGCATGTGTGTGCATTTATATATACACAAAATAATACTCTTCTTGCAAACTGTATATACAGCACAGATAGCACAGATATACGGAGCTGAAGGTACATCTTACTCCTACACACACACACACGTGTGTAATCTGACCATTAGGGGCTTGTGTGTGAATATAAATGAGACGGGGGCTGATCGGAGGTTCATGTCCACTGGGATATGATCGTGTGTGAGTGTATACTGGAATGTGGTTGTCTCTGTAGTAGCATTTGTGTCACAAAATGAGAAAAGGACACAATAGCACCCAGACTGCTTAAAGAAGCCATTAACAAGCCTGCAGTCCCTCTGCCCATCACACGCTCTCATTAAAACAGAGCACACACACACTCATGTTTTATTCAAAGCCTCGCGCACAGCAATCCACACTGTGCTCAATCCACAGGGAGTGGCCGAACCTCGTGCAACACAAAAGGAAATCGAGCGCATGTGCGTTATTACTACTATAGGCACAATCTGATTTATTTTTCTGCGGTTTACCCTTCTGAACTGCTTGTTTAACTAGATTTGTGCATTATCTTGAAAATGTCAATGGTGTTTGAGTGTGTAAAACTGAGAAATGGTATAAAAGTGGTAATGCGGAACAGCACACACACATATGTACAATTTAGCTACTAATATGCAACCATGAGGGATAAATAAGGTACAAAGGAAAGGTACCAACCCTAGTGACAGCTTTTGTACCTGTTTTTCTGAGATTGTAGCGTGTTCTGGCTAAGAAACAGGGCACTAACAATTAAAACTTATAATAAATTGTTTACTTTTGACTATTTGGATTTGTTTCATTTTAGGTTGCCCTATACACTTTCAGAAAAAAAGGTCCCTGGGGCTATACCTTTTCAAAATGTACACTTTTGTACCTTAAGGGTACATATTGGTACCTTAATGGTACATTTCAGCACCTAAATGTACATATCAGAACCTAAAATGGACATTTCAGCACCTAAATGTACATATTATCACCTAAAATGTACATATTAGCATCTAAATGTACATATTAGTACTTAAAATGTACATAATAGCACCTAAATGTACATATTAGCACCTGAATGTACGTATCAGAACCTAAAATGTACATATTAACACCTAAATGTACATATTAGCACCTAAAATGTACATATTAGCACATAAAATGAACATACTAGCACCTAAATGTACATATTAGCACAGAAAAAGTACATATTACCACCTAAATGTACATATTAGCACCTAAATGAACATATCAGAACCTAAAATGTATATATTAACACATAAATGTACATATTAGCACCTAAAATGTACATATTAGCACATAAATGTACATATTAGCAACTAAAGTGTACATATCAGAACCTAAAATGTACATATTAGCACCTAAATGTACATATTAGCACCTAAAATGTACATATCAGAACCTAAAATGTACATATTATCACATAAAATGTACATATTAGCATCTAAATGTACATATTAGCACCGAAAATGTACATATTAGCACCTAAATGTACATATTAGCACATAAAATGAACATACTAGCACCTAAATGTACATATTAGCACAGAAAAAGTACATATTACCACCTAAATGTACATATTAGCACCTAAATGAACATATCAGAACCTAAAATGTACATATTAACACATAAATGTACATATTAGCACCTAAAATGTACATATTAGCACATAAATGTACATATTAGCAACTAAAGTGTACATATCAGAACCTAAAATGTACATATTAGCACCTAAATGTACATATTAGCACCTAAAATGTACATATCAGAACCTAAATGTACACATCAGAACCTAAAATGTACATATTAACACATAAAATGGACATATTAGCACCTAAATGTTCATATTAGCACCTAAAATGTACATATAATTTAAGGCATGAAGAATTGTTTTTCCGAAGATGTAATTTTGGTGATCAAAGATTTGTTTTAAGGGATAATATTATTTACTTTAAAATGTATTATCTAGTCCATAAGTTCCCGAGATCTCCTTAAAATCATTGAAATCAAAAATCGCATCATTTCCTGAAGTGACTGAAATGAAAATCCAAATTTCTTCAGTAGACTTGTATATTTAGCCATGGTTTTGTTCACTTTAGATAAAACTCATCTCTGGTGATCACAGTCAATCCTGTGACTGATACTGATTGACTTCATCCTACTTCGCTGGCGTCTCACGGGGAAAAGCGGGAAAAGTTAACCGTGGCAAACTCCTCTTAATCATCACCTCTGAGCTTTAACTCCAGCAAAACTAGTCACTAATAAAACTACAAGCTGCCTCCGACAATAACGCTAGCACGAACGGGTGTCGAAAGGCGAACACAGCAATCCTCACACACCCGGAGCAAACCAAAGAAGAGTGCTTTGATACCGACACTAAAGGAGACGTGGAGGCTGACAGGAGCGGTTTGATCACAAACACCCATGGAGAGTTTCTCAGAAGATAAAACAACAAAACACAGACAAACAAACTACTTCAGCCTGGAGTTTGATCTGTGACAACTCGCCGTCATAAACTGACTGAGAAAAAACA